AGGCGCAAAAATCCTTTTCTTCATTTTAAACTAATGAGTTTAAAGTTTTCATTTCACTTAAATTTGTAATTTTGAAACAGTTCAATTAGTTCGTACTAATAGCTAATGATTGTCAATAGAATAAAACTGAAAGTTGCATAAAAAGTTGTTTTTCTACATTTTAAGTATAAGATATTCTGTTTTTGGAATTTAAAGGAATTTCTTAAACATTGGGCTTCTATGAACTGCAGAAATAATTTAATTAAAGAAGTGTTCTCGGTAGTTTTGGCAGCTGTTTTTTTCTTCCGCAACTTCTAATTCTTCTAAGTCTCTCATCTAATGTCTCTCTTCTATGAGCAAGAGATTTTAATACAAAACTCAACAACTAGAAACATATTTTTAATTAAACAAATGACACCTAAGTATTGAACAGAAAACTTTACTAAAAAAAAAAACAAGCTTAAAGAAAAATTAAATAATAAAAATATTTAAAAAAAATCAAATTATAAAGAAATATATAAAAAAAAAGCAAAAATTAGAACAGAAAAAATAATTATGTGTCAAAACAAAGAAGTTTCTTAAGAGAGGCATAAAACATTTTGATATCAAACATAGGAAAATTGTTCCTAATAAAACATAAGAAAAGCAAAATGAAAAAGGTATCAATAAAAATATAAATTAATATCAACAAATTTTCATTAAAAGAAATTTATTAAAATGTTTATCTTCATGCTGTTGTTGAAAAAAAAAAAAAAAAAAAAAAGAATAACCTTGACTGGAGATATACTTGTAATCCGATTTACAATTGCATCCCTAAAATTGTAATACAAAAAAATATATATTTAATAATCACGTAGAGTTCACAATCAACCTAAAATAGAAAAATTTTAAAAAATCATTACATTAAAGTATTATGTAAAACCCTGTACACTTAGAGGTAAAATCTTTTTTTTTTTCGCTTTCGAACTTCTGCAACTCAAGCAAACCCCAGCCCAATTAAGAATGGGGTTATTTAAACAAACATCAAAAAATAAAAAAACTTTTTTGACAAAATGTTTTTTGTTTTGACTACTTTATAAAAGTACAAAAGTTTATGCCTAGAAACTGTTTTAACCCCAAAAAATACAAAATACAAAGTATATAGAAAAATTTCATAAGGTCTATATAAAGTTTCCATATGATCTATATAATGCTTCCATATGATCTATATAACACTTCTAATTAAAGAATTGTTTTGGTTCATTAAGTAGGGTTAATTGTGAATAATATAAATTTTAAAGATGTACTCAAAATATACTAAGTTTAAACACTCTTGTTTTTTTTAAATTATGGTAAGTTTAGACTGGTGCAAATTGAAAACAAAAACTATATGCGTTAAAAAAAGCTAGTATATCTTTTTGTACAAGGTGTATAATTATTCTAACAGAGTAAAAATTCTAAATTGCAAATACAAAAAAGGAGAAAGAAAACTTCAAAATGACTTTTCATTTTTTTTCTATAATAGTGTAAAAACAATGTAAATATCATGAAAATCTTAAAATTGATGTGTTTATGTGTGTGTGTACATGTGAGAGCAACTTTAGTTGCCAGACACTTATAAACAAAACATCTGAATAAAATTTACCTGAATATATGAAGCATTGATGTAATCAGATTGCTTACGCTTACAGTCAAACTTAAGTATTACTCGAGAATGATCATCTATATATAAAAAAAAAAAAAAATTAAAGAAAATTGTTCATAGAATACCTATTTAAAAAAATGAAATCATTAGAACTTATTTATCTTCTAACAATTTCCATATTTCTTATGTCATTTATAATAATATAATTCCTAAATTAGCAAAAAGGCTGAACGCAGCTTTGAACGCTGGCATGTGTAAGTGCATAAGTGTGGACATACAGATGGCTCATTCCTGAAAAAAATGTTTTTAGTGTATTTATATTATACATTTTAATATTATTTAATTCATAATACATTTACATAATATATTTTATCACTATATTATATCACTTTTTAATTTTATTATATCACTACTTAATTTGAAATTCATGAAACTATTTTTCTGGAAGGAAAGACTAAAATCATGTACATGTTTTAATTGTTATTTGAAAATATTTTTAAATAAAAAAATAAATCTTTTTTATACTAAATTTAAATCAACTACTTGTAAAAACTCTAAATTCTGAAATTCTAAAAGATGAAACTTACAAGCTGCAATATCACCATATCTGTTTTTAGGTCGGTTTTCTGGACGGTCTGCTACTTCCCAAGGATAACATTTTCCACTCATTGTCTCATTCTAAATTTTAAAAAAAATGTTTTATTGAAGAGATTATACAGATGACGAATGTCAGGTCAGTGGTGATTTAGATTCAGGTCAGTGGTGATTTAGATTCAGGTCAGTGGTGATTTAGATTCAGGTAAACATAAAAGTGCCGATTTTAAGAACAGATTTTCAAAGTGAGATTACAAAAGGATAGATATCAAAAGAAGTTTTAAAAATAATATATAAATAATATATAAAATTATCTTAAAAAATGCTAAATGGCATGATGATTGCTAACATAAACAAAAACAAAAAAAAAATTCAAAAAGAACTCTGAATTGTTGAAATGCTAAGTGGCACACTAAACCGATGTCCTATTGTAACAGTGGCAGCAATGAGAAAAAAACATATTAAGTATATTATTAAACATAAAATGATTAATAAATAAAAGTCAAAGAAAGGCATAAGAATGGCATAAGAGAAACACAAACAATAAAATAAAAATACATATACAATGATAAAAAAAAATTAAAAATTCAAGCACTCTTCGATCTCAAGACCGCATGTGTTATGACGCAAAATGGTAATCTACTGAACTTCAGTAAAAACTTTTTTCAATGTCTCATATATCCTTATAAAATGGTAATCTAATGTCTCATATATCCTTATAAAATGGTAATCTAATGCCTCATATATCCTTATAAAAGGTAACTTAGAAAAGTAATAAGCATTTGATTAAAAATATTTTTTGTTCTAAACCCTAAGCAACAGAAAAAAACATCTTGTTTTTTAATGTTGCTTAGGATTTAGAAATAGTTGTATACTGTAATTCCAGTAATATACTTTTGTACTTATCATGGTTTAAACATTAAATAAACAAACAATTTAAATATAGAGTGTTTCATAATTTATGTTCATGCTTTTAATTTACAATTGCTCCTAATTATCATAATATATTTATTAAAAATATAAACATATGTAAATAAAAATATATGTACAGTTTATTTATTATGATATGTATATAGTTAGTGTGACTTCACAACTTTTCACGTGACTTCATCGAAGAGAGAATTCAAATTGTTTTTTATTTGTTTGAAAACAAAAAACAATTTTAATGAAAACAAAGTTCAATGAAATGGCCTGCACGTTCTCAGCATTTTTTGATTTTCCCCTTTAACAATATAGTATACAAGGGTAAACTCTCTACAATTGCTAAACTTAGTAAGCAAGTTAAAAGCAAACATGTGCAGACATAGACAAGTGTAGAAAAGCTTGAAAAATGTTACTTTGAAACAATGCTTAAAGCTAGACGGTAAACAAGTTGAATAGCCACATATAATATTATATTATTCTGATAAATTAAATAAAACTATAAAAACATTCTTTCTTTATTATTTGCTCAAATTTTTTAAATCCAAAGTACATAAACAACTTATGAAACACTCTGTAATGTTCAAAAATAACCTCTGCAAAAAGAAAAAAAAGTTTCTTATTAACAACGTATGAACTAAACAGAAATTATGAGTATTGAAGGAAGATAGTATAAAAGAGACATTACAAGTATTAAAGGAGAATGAAGAAACATAATCAAATTAATTGATTGTATTGTTGGTGTTGGTTACTGTTGAAAATTATTAAATGTCAAGAATATTTATTATTAATATTTTTATAATTTCATAGTTCATATAAGGCTTCATATAAGTTCATATAAGGCGATTAATCAGTGAGTTCCTATAAGGCTTATAAATCAGTTTTACCATTTGTCACAATTTTTGTTTGATTAGAAAACTTTATATTTTACATAATATAATTCAATGGGAGTATACACATACAACCCTCGCAATTAAGGTTGGCATTCGGCAATGCCAACCTGACTGCCAACCTTAAAGTGTTTGAGGTCGGCAATTTTTTGCCGTCCTCATTTCTATGTTTTATGGTAACCCCTTTGTAACAAATTTTTTTTGCAGACCTCTAACAGTTTGAGGGTGCAAATTTATTATCGACCTCATTTTTTATAATTCTGAGGGTTGCACATACATATGCAGATATTTATTTCACATATATATATAGATATATACTTCATATATATACAGATATAAGTTTCATATATATAAATACAATAAATACTTTAAATTCACTGGCTAGAATTTCATAATTATTTTGTTCAGCACGATTGATATATTGAGCAAAACTTTCAACTGGGACTGGATCATGACTTTTAACTGGATCAGCTAAATAATAAAACTGAGAAAATGAATAAACACAATAGCAAAATGTAATTTAAATAATTAACAGTTAAGCTGTCAACAGGTACCTGGGCATTATTAATTTAGTAGCATTATAAATTTGAAATTCGTTTCATTATTCTTTTAAGTTTAAAATTATTATTATTAATTTAAATAATAATTAAACAATATTAACTAGGTATGTAAAAGAAGATCTTAAAGATTTTGTTATTTAAAATTTCCATACTTGAAATTTTATTATGATTTCTTTATCACCATCAGAATTTGTGAAACCATTAAACATAACTCAAATAACAAAAAGTTATTTGAGTTTCTAACTCAGAAATTTATTTATTATTTCTTGCGTTATGTACAATGTTTTCCTTGATATAAATCAGAACTCCTCTACCCAGAAGACAGAAAATATAATTTGGAAGCTCATTAAAGTAATCTAAGTTTCACTTAAGCAAATTATTTTTCAAAAAGTTTTTTAGTTCTTCTTAAAAAGGTCTAAAAAAATGATTTGAAAAAGTTATTATTTTTTTAACTGCGCATAAAAAGTTCATTCTAAATAACTAAGATGTTATAACAAATTTTTATTTATTTATTTTATTAATCATTTATTAATTTGAACCAAATAAATGTTTAGTAAAAGCTAGCTGTTGTAATTTCATTTCATAATTAATTCTTTAAATAATAGCAATAAAATTAAATTTAAAATTTAGATCACTAAATAAATAACATCATTAAATGAAAAGTTTTTATTGCTGTTTACAAGCATGACTTTTAGAAAAGTATTGTTTTTTAATTCATATATGTAAATCTGTAAATATATATTAAAAATGTCAATATTAATCCTAACAGATTTTTCAGAAAGAGAAAAAAACTAAGGAATACTTAAAAAACCAAATTTTATTTTGCTGTATTAATAGTCCTTCATAACACCATTATGCTTAAACATCATCAGAACATAAATTTTTTGAATTTGTTATTTCAATGAAGTTGAAACTGACATCTTTTAAGTGCTTTCCAATAAGATTCGACATGTTTAAAATTTAATTGATTTAACATTCATAGTGTAGAGAAATTTTTTTATGTAACCTTAAGAGAGCACTTTGTACAAAAGCTTCACCTTCATACCTTAAGACCTTTTAAAATAATTATAAACCTCATTAGAACTTCAATTAGATATTAACTGAAAATGCAAAATTTGGACTTTTTTTCTTTATACTTACTTCAGTAAATCTTACAATTCCATAAGCACTACAATGGCAACATTTAATATTTGGGTATTTTTATGTTTATAAATTATTCAGTTATATTAAATATTAATCAATAAAACTTCAATAAATTAATATACCCATATAAATAATTTTTTAATATAATAGTTTTTATTTTTAAATAACAGTTTTTATTTAAAACATGTCATTCTCTGTTACTCTTTTAAAGTAACAGAGAGTGACATGTTTCAGTTCAAAGTGATATTGTCACTCTCAGTTACTCTTTTAGAGAAACAGAGAGTGACATGCTTCAGTTTGAAGTGATATTGTCACTCTCTGTTACTCTTTTAGAGTAACAGATGGTGACATGCTTCAGTTTGAAGTGATATTGTCACTCTCTGTTACTCTTTTAGAGTAACTGATGGTGAAAATATCACTTTAAACTAACAACAAATAGAATCAAAACATTTTTTAAATCTACACCATGAATACTTCATAATTGCTCAATTATTTGAATTGATATATGGGTGTTAAACCTTACTAACATCATACTATTAACCTATAGTTACCCTAGTAACACTATATTATTAACCTATAGTAACCCTAGTAACATAATGTAACCACAAGTAGCCTCCTCATCTGTAGTGGCCTTCTTGGCTTTGGGGAGGTGAATTACATAAAAACAAGATGAAAAAAATATTAACCTATTGTGATCCTAGTAACATCATATTATTAAAATAATTTCAAACAGTGTAACTATTTATCTTTTTTAAATTACTTGTAAATTTAGATGCATAAAAACATACATAAACTTTCTGTAGGAAGTTTTGATTTTTCTTGAAATAACAACTCTTCTTTTTCATCAACTTTAGATGGAACATAGTGCACAAACAAAGATGATTTGCTGAAACTCTGTTGCGGCTGCGAATGGCACCTAAACATCATAGAACCATTTTATATAACTTTATGACAGTATGTAAATACTATAAATGCATTTGCATAAATGCATCTTTAATGTTTCCATATATAATATCAAAAATAAACAACCATATACTTATACCAAAGCAACAAACAAATTATCAAATTAACATATAATTTAGAACATTGACTTTAAAGTATAAGTCAAAAATTGGTATATATATAAAAATCAAAAATATGTCAAAAATACAGTAAACTTAAATGTGTAAAATCTAATTCTTATCCTTGGATGAAAAAAATTGGATTTGAAATTTTAACACTGAAACAATGCCTACTGGTCTTTTCTAATAATTTACTAATTTTAACTGCGGTTTCAGTTTTCATGATAATTATATGGAGATTTCATGATAATTATGATGGAGATTTCATGATAACTATGATGAACATAACTTTGAAATAAAGCTTGACTTTCTTCACTTTCTTTTCTTTTTAAGTCAAGTAACATAATCAAGTCTAGTAACATAAGTAACATAACCAAGTCTAGTAACATAAGTAACATAATCAAGTCTATAACATAAGTAACATAATCAAGTCTAACAACATAAGTAGCATAATCAAGTCAAATAACATAAGTGAAAATATAGTAAGTAGTGAAAGATTTTATTTGAGTTGAATTTATTTGTTTTATAACTTCTGATTCACTCTCAACAAAGCTACTATTAAGTTGTGAGTTATTAAGTTAGAGTTATAGAGCATGGAAATGGTTGACAGAAGACTTGAAAAGTTGAAGGTTGTATGAGTCAGGAAAACATGAAGATGCAAAAGAATTCCATAGGGTTGAGGTGTGGGGAAGAAAACTATACAAATAAAAGTTTTTAGAACATGCAAAGACAGATACATTAAAAGAATGAGACTTTGCTGAATGAGGAGTCAAGCGAGAATGAATTTTAGTTGATGGAACTAAAGATGATAGCTCCTTTGAGCGGACCATGATAGCATATGTAGAAAGAGAAAGAGACAACTTTACAATGATGAGAAAGAGGTTCAAGCTTAGCAGATAGAGCGGGTCCTACTATATTTACAATATGTTTTTGGACTTTAGCTAGAAGAAAAAGAGCATCATTAACATATTAGAAAGATCATTAATATAGATTTAATTTTCCTTTATATCTTGTAACCTCAGAGGTTACAAGATATAAAGGAAAGTCTAGTTTCAAAAAGTAAAAAAAAAATGCTAATAACTATAAAGAAAGTGAAAAAGAAAGCGAGAAACTTTAATTTGAGGGCGATCATGTACCAAAGAAAAAAATGAAAAACAGAAGTGATTATTTTTAGAAGTGTTATTATTTATTTTTTAATTAGAAGTTTAATTGTCCGCCCATGGAAGATCGGATTTTTTATTACAAATAAAAAATTTCACCTTTTACTTTTTCATTTATAATGAGAAGATATAAAATTTTTTAAATTTTACCAAGTTTATGTTGAAAATTAATATACCCAAGCAAAAAAAGAAGTGTTAAGTGTATAAGAAAAAAATTTGATAATGATACTAAACTAATAAACTATTTTTATTGTTGTTTTTAGTCACTGTCATAATTTACTAAGTTCTCTGTGATTTGTTACCTTATTTATAGTCATATTTTACATTGGTTGCTATTGTGTTTACCTTTTGTAAAAGTTAAAACCACAAATACCAAGTGCTACCAACAACAATAAGGTAATGCAAAACGCCACAATCAATATTCTGCTATTCTGTCCATACTCAGAACTTCCAGGTTCAACAGAGAACTGATATACTTGAATCACTAAGCTAAATTGTCCATATCCTTTACTTGTATACGCACGAATGGCAACAGCAAGCACACTATTGTAGGAAATGTTTGTATCAAAATCTATGAACTTTAAAGTAAATATTGTGACCACTGTGCGGTTACGTAAAGTTATTTGAATTTCATATTTTGTGATATTTCCATTTGGAGTTGATGGTGGTTTCCATGTTAAGATTAAGTTTTGGTTTTTTTTTTCATAAAGGATATCAGTTGGCTCATTTGGTGTGTGTTCCTCTGTCATTGCCCAAATAAAGTCACTAAAAGGTCCATACCCAGCTTTATTTTTTGAACGAGAGCAGATTTGATACCATGTAAATGGTTTCAAGTCTTGTATATGAAAAAACTGTTGTTCACCAAGATTTTCATCGATATTAATCTTAAAAGTGTGGTTTCCTGGATTATATACAATCTCATAACTAGTTATAACATCCTTGTCTGGGTAGCGGTTATCATGTTTCACATAGCCTGATATAGTAGTAGCAGTCCTTGTAGTAGCCTCTATTGTCGGAGCACCATCTGGACCTTAAATAAATAAAAACAAATGATAATTTTTTTTAAATTTTATTTAAAAAAAAAATATTTCAATTAAAAATATTTCTAAATTTATTTTAACTTTTCACCTGGTTATTTATATATAAAATTTTAATGTTTATTTATATTTTGTAACTCTGTTACATAAATATATGCTAAAAAAAGAAAATTTTTTTACATTTTTAGACCCCTGGCAACAACAATAGAAGTAACTGAACTTTTTTTATATTTTTTTTTCATATTAAAATAACTAGAAAACTCAATATGGTATTTTTTTTTAACAATTTGTGTGTTTTATGTTAATTAACTAAAATCTCATAAATTTATATATATATATATATATATATATATATATATATATATATATATATATATATATATATATATATATATATATATATACATATATATATATATATATATATATATATATATATATATATATATATATATATATATATATATATATATATATATATATATATATATATATATATATATATATATATATATGACTGTTAAAGTCTAACACCTACTGTTGTTACACTCGTTTTTCTTGGTAAAACAGCCTTTGATTTATATTTATATTTAAATCTCTAAAAAATAATAAATGCGCATAAATAAAATTAGTGTGAATGTAATTAAAGCAGTGTTTGATATTATTGAACCGTCACTGTTTTATACTTTTAACCTTTCACTAAAATCTGATAATATACCGATGGAAATTTTAAAAAATTGCTAAAATCATACATTTTTTTAAATCTGGTGATGACACAAATATGACTAACTATAGACCTATTTCTTCTCTAAATTGTTAGAAAAAATATGTATAATAGACTTAATAATTATTTAACTGAGAATAATATAATGTTTAAGTAAACAATATGGGTTCAAAAAGAATCATTCAACGGATCATGCAGTTAAAAACAAGTTAAAAATGAAAAAGTTAGAAATTTACAAGTTAAAATTTTTAAAATAAAACACAATATATATATATATATATATATATATATATATATATATATATATATATATATATATATATATATATATATATATATATATATATATACATATATATATATATATATATATATATATATATATATATATATATATATATATATATATATATATATATATACAGGCCTTGCGATAAAGGGTCGGGCGATGTGAATTTTACGTCGTCCAAGGGCGATTTTGCGTGAAGCTAGGGCTATTTGCGTCGAGCAAAAAATTTTTTGTTTGAGTATATTTAAAGATATTTTTGAGCGGAATTTTAATGAAGTAATTTACGATTATTTTAACATTTAATAAAGTATTTTAAAAGCCGCACGCAGTTGAAATAAAAGTTTGAATTTAAAAAAATTAAATATGCTTATTATTTAAAAAAATTAAATATGCTTATTATGCATATTATTATTATTTACAAGTAGAAAAAATTCAAAAATTAAAAAAGAAGTTTAAATCTTTTAAGCTAACATTTTAATAAAATTATTCAGCAATAGCAACGTTGTCGATAAAATTGAACAAAAATACTTTCTTTTAGTTTTAGATTTTAAACTTAAATAATTATTTTACAGGGGTTTGATAGGTTTTAAAATTATTCCATAGATTTAAAAATATTTATTAACTGTTAGACGTATTTAAAGTATTTAAGAGTGATTTCGAGGAAACATTTTAAAAATTGGTGAGGGCAAATAAAAAAAAAAAAGAATAATATTAAAACGTATTCTACTTGATTCAATAAAAAAGTACAGTTATTAAATTCTACTTGATTCAATAAAAAAGTACAGTTAACTCAAAAAAATTACGTAAATAATAACGATCGCTTTTATGTTAAAAGTTACCGAAACTCATCGAAGCGTGCTCAAGAACAGCTGCTGAAAAATAGAACGTCAATAGTTTTTTGAATAATTTTTAAGAATAATTTTTAAGAATAATTTTTTCGCTGAAACATTTCTTTTATACCTATAAGATTTTTATTCTAACATTTTATTTTATTTTACTAGAAATAAAATTCCTTGTTAACATTAAAAACCAATTCAAAACGTTCGTTTAAGTTTTTTATTAATACGAGTGATTGTGCTTATCAACCGCTTTATGAAAATAAATAAAAATAAATAAATAAATATTATATAAAATCGCTTGTAAAAATATTAGCTATTGCACAGTTTTTAATCGTGCAATATTAAAATTTCCAGTTTATTACTCGCTGACTTTTTAAAAAGAAAAAATAATTATTTGAAAAACTTTAAATTACATATTTAAGAAAAAAAAAAATCAAATATTAGCATATTTTATAATCTTTTTTAAATTTAAGTTATGTTTTTTATTCGTTTAGTATAGACAAAACGTGACAAACGTCGAGAAAATAAACAAACGTTTTTACATTTTAAAAAACGAAACATTCCAAAACATTTTTAAATAATAACATTTCTACATAAACGATTTAAAGTAGTTTTGCGGTAATTAAATAAATTGGTGCAGTTAATGTCGATAAATATGAAAAGCAAATAAAAAGAATTTAATGACGTCAAAAATCACGTCGTGCTTATGCGTCCCGCAGTTCTTATTCATCGCAAGGCCTGTATATATATATATATATCAGAGGCAGACTGGCCATATGGGCGTACCGGCACAATGCCTGGTGGGCTGGTACAAAAGTGGGCCGATAGGCTGGTAAAAAAATTAGGATGATTAATCAAAAAATTCAAATGAAACTAATATAATACATATTTGAACTTGATGTATGTTCTTTACAAAGAATTATTTGTAAAATTAGTGACGCACATATTATTTAATCCTTCATTAAGTGTAATGCATAATACATACATGCATACATACATACATATATAACATATATACATGCATACATATGGTACAAAAATGCAAAAACCAAAAAAAATGAAAATGCAAATAAAAATACTAATCAAATTTAAAAACCATTGGCAATAGGAAAACACGAAATCAAATCCAAAAAAAAAAAATTAACAAATCACTATAGAGTCTTCAATAAACCCAAACGCTGTCATAGATACCAATTTCGAATTATGCTAACCAATCAAAATTGTAAGAAGATGAAAACCCCGCGCATCTCAATTTATCTTGAAAATCAATAATATAAGCATAGGAAAAAAATAACGTTTAAAAACTAATATATAATAATAGATTTTTAAAATGAATGAACCCAAAAAAAGAAAAGGAGGAGCTCAAAAATTACGAGAGAAAAACCAAAAATTGATGAAATTATCAGCTAACAAATGTCTTAAAATAAGCGATTTCATTCCCAACAGAAATCCTGATATAAGTAAAGCTGATGAAAAAGTGACAACAAAAAGTAAAAATGATGTACAGATCCAAATTAATTCCAATAATAACACAACGTCAACGACTGGAACCGAATCTGAAGATATTACAGCAACTAATGAAGTACTAAATAGTGACGATGTAGCAGTTGAAAATTTGTCAGAATGTACACAAAATGAGATTCAAGTTCAGATCGATTCAAACATTAGCATCGCAGAAACCGTCAGCCATCATCCTGCTTGTGATAGTGATATGGTTGTTGATCAAGGTGTAATTATTGTAGAACAAAATATTGACTTTTATATTGGTTTTCTTGTCCACCATCAACACTTCTCAATAAATTTTTTGAAATCCATCCAATTCAAACTACCAGAGATCCTATTATTGTGAAATCTTTTGTACGGAAAAATGGAACGAATCGTAAATGGTTATCTTACTCTGAAGGCAACGATGCATTATATTGTTCAATATGTTTAGCATTTTTACCAACTGTTGTAATGAGTTCTTTTGTTAGTGGAATGACAGATAGAAGACACATTCATCAAAGAGTTGATGAACATGAAAAATCAGCATCACATAACGAATGCACAGAAGACTATTTCCAACATGTATCTAGATCCAACGTCTCAAATTTACTGTTTTCTACTCAAATTTCTGTACGTTGAGAGCAAGTTCAAAAGCTACGTCTTGTGCTCCTGCAGGTGATAGAAATTATTAAAGTAATTGGAAAACGCGGTCTTAGTTACAGGGGACATGAGTTTGAAGCTGCTTATACATTGTCAGATAATTCAATTGATCATGGAAATTTCTTAGAAATGGTGTTACTTGTCAGTAAATATGAAAAACGGAAGAACACAGGAAGTACTGGAAGAGGTTCCATGGTTACTTTTCTTTCAAAAACCACAATAACAAAACTCATTCAAATTACGAGTCAATACAGAAATCATTGCAAAAGAAATTAACTCAGCTGGTATGTTTTCAGTTCAAATTGATACAACAGAAGATATAACAAGTAAAAATCAATGCTCAATAGTTGTGAGGTATGTAACTGATCAGATTCTCGAAAGATTATTAACTATGATTGCGTGCGACTCTTCAACTGGCTAGTATCTGTCGAGTTTAGTATTTGAAACTTTAAAGGCATTGAACATTGATATTTTAAAGTGTGTTGGTAATTCAACAGATGGAGCTGCAAACATGAATGGTGAGTATAACGGTTTCGCAGCATGGAAGTTCAAAGAAAATCCAAACCAAATACATGTATGGTGTTATGCTCATGTTTTAAATTTGGTTATTTCAGATACTTGTAGTGTCGTTTTATCCAGTATTTCCTTGTTTAATTTTTTGAATGACGTAGCAGTGTTTATTCGTGGATCATATACAAGAATGAATATTTTTGAAACAGAAAATCAGAATGATATACACAATTGCAGAATTTCAACTATTGGTGAAACACGTTGGTGGTCAAAGGATGCAGCGTTAACAAAAATATTTGGTACCTTTGCCAATCCGCATTCAAGTTTCTATGTTGAACTTGTAGTTGCATTGTCTCATATTGAAGACAATTTAAGTTTCAAATCTGAAGTTCGAGTAAAAGCAAAAGGCTTCAAAGAAGGACTCCTTAAGTATGATACAATTTTAACTGCACAAATTTTTTTACGGGTTTTTCAGTTGACGACACCGCTCTCAAAATATTTACAAACAGTAAATATTGACATTTTGGTTGCATACAACATGGTTACGCAAACGATAGACACATTGAAAAAGTATTTAGAGGAATTTGATATAGTATTGGAAGCTACTAATAATTTTGCCTGTAAAGTTAATGAAAAACTTGAACAACATGAATTAGAAGCAGAGAATACTCTATCAGAAAAAAGAATTCGAAAGAAAAAAGTATTATCAGGCGAAACTCTTCCAAGTGAATTTGAAATTCATTCTGATGTACTTAACTCTTATAAAGTTAAAGTTCATGATGTAATATTTAAAAGCATAATAGAAAGCATGAGCAAACGTTTTTAAAAAAGTTGAGAACTTTATGCTGATTTTGCTATTCTAAGTCCTTCAAATTTTGAACAGTTGAAAGCTCATAGTGTACCAACATCTGCTTTAAATAAATTGAGTGAACATCTATTGCCGTTTGATGAAGAAGCTACAGCAGAAAATTTATGTACTGAGCTTACTAGTTTTGCTTCAAACTGGAATAATATCAAAGAGTCACTTTTGAGTACATATGACATAATGGATATAAACAAAGAAAGTGTTGAGAAACTTGAATATAATTGTCAAAAGTCATGTACTGCCTGTAAAAACTGCACAGTTTGTTGCTACCTTGTTTTGATTCAATATAATTTAATAAGTGAAGCATACACAAAAATTGGGTTAGCTTATAAATATACTTTGTCACTTTTATTTACGCAAGTTGCATGTGAAAGAAGTTTTTCAATTTTAAAGTTCATCAAAAATTGTTTGCGTAGTAGTATGGCTCAAGAAAATTTACAATCATTCATGCTCATGAATACTGAAAAGGAAATTCTAAGCAATCTTGATCCCGAAACAATAATTGACGAGCAAGCTGAATGTATGAGCTACCTGAAACAATGTATGATATGAAACCTGAAACATATGTATGAGCTACCTGAAACAAGTGATCTGTTTAAAAATCTTTTAGTTGTTTGAAAATTCTTAATTAGTTAAATATTTAAAATAAACATATTTGTTCTTAAAAAATTTGTTTAAAAATTTCATAGTTAAATTATAAAAAAAATAGCTAATTAATTCCTCTATTGTGGGCCGGTCCAATATGAAATGCCCGGGCCCATTTTTAGTCACAGTCCGCCACTGATATATATATATATATATATATATATATATATATATATATATATATATATATATATATATATATATATATATATATATATATATATATATATGTATACATAATTTTTGATTTAAAGGTACAGAAAATTAGATTGGTGGAAAAATCTAGAACATAATGTTGAGTTAATAAGGTACAGTAATAACAGGTAACAACCTTCTTTCAAATCTCAAAAACACAAACCTCAACAAACAAGGCCACTGTGCAGAGAAACATTTTGTTAATCTGTAACTTTGATTTTTTTTTTTGTTTTATTCTATATGGTTTTATGTCATTGATTGTTGTTACATATTTGTATATAAAAAAACATAAACAAGTTACTGTTATTAATTTTAATATTTGTAAAAAACCTTGAAATCTATGATTGCATACTCACGAACAAAATACATATCTGCTGAAGTTATGTAAAGTTGTTTTGAATAAATTATCTCAATTTTTACAAGTTAATAATAATTTTTTTGTTTTGTTTTTACTTGTGTAAATTGTTGAAAATTCAAAAATTACTTACGACTTTGTGATGTTCTTTGTTGTAAATAGCTTATGTTGGATAAAAGATTGTCATCATTGAATACCAAAACTGATATGTTGTAATAAGTCCATGGTAGTAAATCCCTTATCAGAATAGAATTGAAAACACTTAATGGAAAAGTCAAGTTAGTAGTTTGAATAGCACTTTGAAATTGCTTTCCATGAAGTTGAGTAACGTAAATATAGCAACCAATTAACTTTCCGAAATTTGGATTATCAAACTTTGCCTAAAAAAGCAATAAAAAAAATCATATCATAACAAATAAGATAGAACACACTTTATAAGAGGGTAGATCACAACATCTAAAAAGTGGTTAGACACTTCAAAGTGGATAGAGTTTAAAATCTTTTAAAGAAAAAAATGTTGATTTTTTATAAGAGGGTAGATCACTTTATAAGAGGGTAGATCACTTTATAAGAGGGTAGATCACAACATTCAAAAAGTGGTTAGACACTTCAAAGTGGATAGAGTTTAAAATCTTTTAAAGAAAAAAATGTTGATTTTTTATAAGAGGGTAGATCACAACATTCAAAAAGTGGTTAGACACTTCAAAGTGAATAGAGCTTAAAATCTTTTAAAGAAAAAATGTCAAATTTTTGATTAAAAAAGATTGTTTTCTTTGTCACAAAAAAGTTTAGTTTGACCTTTAGAAGTTGCTTATAAGATTTAACCTAAGAACAAATTATATCATACATATGCATAATTATATCATACATATGCATAATTATAATGCATACTAATGCACAACTATAACAAAACATAAAAATAATTAAATAATTAGAACATTATACACAAAAGTAGTTAAAGGAATCCCTAAATGGCGAGACAAGTTGTGTTCATATCTACATAAACTTTGCAAATTAGGTTTAGACTTATTTAAACTTTAAAATAATTTATCAAGATATTATCAACAAAACTTTTATTATTTTGATGCCATATTGTTTTTTGTTGAGTAAACTTCTAGGTTGTTGATTTTTATTCAAATCTGATCTGATTAATGTGTTTCATCTTTTGATATCAATAAAAGCAAGTATTGTTGTAAAAGTTAATTAAAAAACTTCAATTATAACTTGTTAAAAAGAAAAAACGAAATTAAATTTTTAAACAACATTTTTAACAATTTAACAACAGTTTAACAACAATTTAAACAATTGTTATTATAATTTTTATCCATATCCATGTAAAACAAATTTAGCAATGAGATTAAACCATTATAATTATCAATACAATAAAAATATAACAACTATTCTATTGTAAATATTGTTGTTTATTGAAATAAATTATTTCCATATGAAAAAAAAATTTCAAATGCAATAAATAGACACGACAAAATTAAAACAATCTTTACATTGTTTAAATAAAAGTAGATAAGATAGAGAATATAAAATAATGTATTTTTATGTACACATAAAAATTTAACTTTAATTAGGTTTCCTACTGCACTCTCCTTTATAAAAAAGAAGAGGAAATGAGATTGTTAGCCCTATATAAAAGTGTATGTTAGCTTTATATAAAAGAGAATGTTAGCCTTATATAAAAGAGAATGTTAGCCTTATATAAAATTATAATAAATGCATACCCATTTAAAAATCATTAATAAAAGAAGTATTAAAAAAAAAGGTGAAGAATTTAGAAAAAATATTTAAAACAAGAAAATCAAGTAAAACTTTTTAATAGCTTTTTATTTTTTTTAAAAGACCAAAATATAGGAGCTTACCTCTACTTTTAGCCTGATTTTACGAGAGCCATTGTGAACAACATAAATTTTTGGAACAATATTAGGACCTAAAAGTAATTGTTATTTAATTAACAATTATTGTTTATTTTTTTAAAACAAACCTGTTTAATTAAAAAATTAAGGCTTGCCAAATTTAAAAAAGAGTTTAAATCAATATAAATTATAAATAATTATACTCATCACTGTGACTATACTATATTAATTAATATATATATATATATATATATATATATATATATATATATATATATATATATATATATATATATACACATACCAAATTTAATTTGGCACATCAATTCTTATTACCAATTTGAAAAAACTTGTTACATTTCATATCGTACAAAACTTTTTCATTTAATGAAACCTAATTGAGTATTTTATATCATTCCCAAAACCAGAACCCAAATATAACGGAGATAAATAATTCCAATTTTTTTAAGCAGTTTTTTTTACTCTATTTACCTTCACAAAGCTAAGGGGTCACTACAGTTGAAGTTTATAACTTGGTATAGTGAAAATTAGACATACAATTGGATTAAAAAAATAATTTCAAATGAATTTATTTTTAATTTTTAATGTTAATTCACCTCCCCAAGGCCTAAAAAGCTACTACAGTCAAGAAGGCTACTATAATTGTGGTTACAACTCTCTCTCAACTCAATAACTCCAAAATATAAACCTTGAAGAACAAGGCAGCTACGTGGAAAAACAAGTTGAGCATGGTACTACCACACAGTGGGCCCAGAGGTGGAAATACACAAAATATATTTGTTTGAGAAAGCTTGTTTGAGAAAATTTGTTTTTGAAATAATGCTAATTTCTAAGTGATGATATGCAATTTTGAAGTTGATGAATTTCCAATTTTTTTTTGTATCTATAAAAGTTTAGTAAATTCGATTAGTCTCCATTCAAAAATTTACCAACATGAAAATTGATAAACCACTTATGTAAAAGTTGTTTTTAATTTGATATGGAATATATTTTTGAATAAATAAATTAAAAATGTGTTATTTTTAAAAAAAAAAATTTTCAAAGCTTTTAAAACTTAATTATGTAATTATGTTATAAATTTATGTTGTTGTTTTTTACAAAAGTGCTTACTTTGCTTCAATTGTATCATAGATTTTCAAAATATTTAACATTTCTTTTTTTTTCAAATATTTTAAGGGTAACCGAGGCAAGTTAGCACTTTTTTTATTTACATGATTTGAAAAAGTAGAACAGTGATTATTATTTTTTTCTTAAAATATGTGAATATTTTATTTTTGGTTACAAATATGAAAATTTTATATTTTTTATTCGTTTACTTGACATGATTTTGTGTTTATTTCAGCAGAAGTAAAGTAAAATAAAAAATAAATGCAATGGAGGAAAATAAAAATGTAAAATACATCACAGTGATTTATTCACACAATTAATTGAAGCTGACAAAACTGTCAAATTCAGTAACATATTCAGATTTTGAACTATCAGTTAATTAACTGGAATTTAAAAATGTGTGTGTGAAAAAAATGGGAGCGTTATAAACATCTTCAAGATAAACATTTCAAGAAAAATGGATATGCATTTATATTTTCACAAGCATCAAAAGTATTATTTATGAAGAAGAGGATGTTTACATAACAGAATCATGTTTTTCAAAACAAATGAGTACCCAGAATTGTATGTTAACTGTTATTGGGTTACCTCTTACATAGAGTTAACACACAAAATAATAAAAGTATTGCTCATGTTGGAAATGCTATTTTTACAAATCATATGGAAACAACAGATATCTTTAGTATAGATGATTCCATTGCTTTAATACATTCCCTTACACTGAGGGAATGCATTAAAGCAGTAGATTTCTTTTTGCTTCAAAAGGCATATACTTTTCAACAACCAATGAATTGCTTGAAGGAAGAAAAAAACTGTTTCCTACAATTAGTAATGTTTTGACTGAAAGAGTTGTTTCTGTTCAATACGAAGAGCTTGTAATGACAATTGATTCTATTTTGAATATATTTAAAGATTCTTTTATTCCAGTAGATGACAATGAGTATCAGATGTGCTTTAAGAATGGTTGTGATGGAGCAGGGTAACAAGTATCCATGAAATCAAAAGAAATGATTGAAAGCAAATCAAATATGTTTCAATATGGTTTATTCCTCTGAAACTAATATGCCATCGAGATAGTAAAAATATGACCCTATGGTAAAATTATTCACCAAATTGAGATCATTATGCCCTGTGTTTTTGATGAGAGAAACAGAAACTAATCAAAAATTGATAATGCACGAGAAAACTACTGATAATGCACGAGAAGAGTTAAATGCTGAAGGAATGTGTTGCCTGTTTGGCAAAAATTATATCAATTTCAAAATTTATATTCAAGATACTATGAAGGATTAAAAGTTTAAACGACTCATCAGCAAACTAGGAGGTGAAGATTGTATATTTTGCAAAACAAAAACTACTGAATGGGCAGATATTAGGAGAGCTAGTGAAGGTTTTCTGATTGATCGATCATATAAAAAAAATTTGGATGCTGTACGAAAAGCTAATTAATAAGGATGGTCTCATTTCATTTAAAACTGGCAATTTTGACACACGAAAAGGAATGACTAAAAAACCACAAACCAAATCTGATCAAAAAAGCATATGTGTTACACATTCATATATAAATAGCACTACCTGGTTTTTAAAACTACTTTATTGGTGTCATATAGATTATAGACTTTGGGTTACAAAAACTGTACCACTTGGTGAACCAATACAAAATGCAAAAGACAGAGTTATTACTAAATAAAAGAACACTGAACTGCGATTAAATATGTGTTGTTACTCTGATTAGAAGGGAGGAACATCTACAACAGGGTCACAACATCTGCATCTTCCAAAGTTATGCCAGGATTGTGGTTCAAATGAGCATACAAGCAAATCTACAACAGGGTCACTGTAATTTTTAGCATAAAAGATCTATGCTCTTCTATGCACAAAGATAGCATATTACTACTAGCTTCTCAAATCAGTATAATACTTTGTATAGTTTCTTGTCAGCATAAAATTAAAATAGACAAATTTCAGGAGTTATGCAATAATGCTACACTTAACATTATTACAAATATGCCATGGGCACAAATCAACCACATTCTTCATAGATTCCTTTATCATTCAGCTGAGTTAATAATTCTTAATAATGGTTATTATCTTAGAAACTTATTAGAGAAAGGTCTTAAAGCAAAAAACAAAGACATTAGAAACTATTTAAAACTTCTTTCTTATAAGACATCGCATCTAGAACAACTTACAGATGTGATGAGTCGTCTTTTAGAGAGATCAGATCCTTGTGTTTTAAACCGAATTATCTATTTGCATCTTCCAAAGTTATGCCAGGATTGTGGTTCAAATGAGCATACAAGCAAATCTCATGAGCATATGTTTTCAAAACCAAAGAGATATTTTGATGATATGTTTGAAAACCTTATTTATGATTAATTATAAAGTTATTAGAACTTTTTACTATTTTCACATTCTATCTTCAAATATATGTTACAAGTTCAAATCATTAGAACTTTACTTTTTTTTCTAAGTATATCTAATAAATAAATAAATTACCTTTTTAATTGCCATCTAAAAAAAATTTGACTTTGAGTATTAATCAAAATATACAAATTTATCAAAAATGACCAAATATGGTAACTTGAACCCAGTCCACAAATTTATTTTAATATTAAAAACTTAAATTTTTCTATAACAAGAAAAAATTATCTTTCTAAAAAATACTCAAAGAAAAAAAAAAAAAGGTTTTTAGGATTTCTTAATCATTAGTTGATTTGCAAAACTTTGCTTCTGGGCCCACTGTGTACCAGGGACATGGTGGGGATCGAACTCAGAAGCTCTTGCTTATGAGGCAAGCGCTTTACCACAACACGGCTACCACATTTTCAAAAAATTATTTTAAAAATGGGTAGAAAATCCATTTAGCTTTTGTAAAGTTTTCTGAAATAATAAATTTGAAAGTTTTTTATATAGTATTTCAAAAAAATTAAAAGTTCTAAAGAGTACTGTTCAAGATAATGACAAACATTGGAAAGAATAATATACGAATAAAAATATGAATAAAAAAGAGCAGGAAGAACTAAAATAACATCAAATGAAGATCAGACAAATTTCTTAAGCATTAGTTGATTTCCAAAACTTTGCTTATGGACTCACCCAAATGAGTAAATGTAATAGAAGACTGACAGTACCCAAAATTACTGTTTATTGAAAGTCAATATAAAATAATAAAACGCTGTCTCAGAAAATCAGGGCTTTTGGTCAAGTTGCTGTTAGGAAGCCTCTACTTAATCAAACAAACAAACAAAAAAAAGTTAGAGAGCCAAAAAATACAATTTGTAGATAAAAGAAGATTGAAAAAAATGTATTTTTGGGAATCAAAATTAAGGAAAAGACATAGTTAAACATGGAGGTGGGTTTGCGATGGTGTGGAATGTTTCTCATTAACTTCCACTAGAGATCTTGTAAAAATTGTGAGGGTGCTAAAAAAAAGGGTGCTAAAAAAAAATTCTTAAAAAATATTAAGAAACGCTATTCCATCTGGCTTACATTCAATTGGTCTTGGATTTTTTCATGCAGAATAATGATTCAAAATAAAGTTCTAGAATATGTCAATCAATCACCAAAAACTACAAACAAAATTTTAGAATCAAAGGGCTTGTTTTTTTACAAAAAGAAAGTTATTAAGTTTATTTCTTTTTTTTCTTTGCTTATTTTTTTCTATATTATGTCAAAATGTTTTCTATACTAAATATATTATAACAGACATAAAAAAAAACAATTAAAACATTCTTAATACTTTTGTACTTAACTTTTAATTAAGATATTATATATTTCTTGTTTGGAAACTTTTGGCTGGCAGTATATATATAAATATATATTTATATATAGAGAGAGATATCATGTATTTACAATGTAAATGCATGGTGTCAATAATAGAATTACGATATTTCAGGCCGGAATCCCAGAATTGATTTTTTTACCTTTTTTTTCAAGACATATGACACAGACCATGTAAAAAAACATTGTCCTACAGTGCAATGAAAAACTTAAAAATAAACCTAGGTAAAAAATACATATTTATTAACAAACACAATGTAAGTTTATTTGCAGTAATCAATTATGTAAGGATTTCTAGAAGTTTAGGAATATTGTGGTGCAAAAAGAGTTACTATCCAGTCAGGTAACAGTTTTGATGAAAAAAGAACAAACTAGTTCTTTTTTCATCAAAACTGTTACCTGACTCTGAGAATAGTCTCATTTTAAATGTTACTTAAATAATTAAAAAATATAGGATGCCTAATACAGTAAATATTTCAATTTAACCTAAATGGAAAATAGAAAACAATGATATAATTTTAAATATAAATATTATACAGGTTAAAACATTCAATAAATAAAATAAGAAACAAATAAAAACAACATATTAGATTTAAATAAAAAAAGAATCAAATTAGTGAAATAGGTTATAAATATATATATATATATATATATATATATATATATATATATATATATATATATATATATATATATATATATATATATATATATATATATATATATATATATATTATGTTATAAATATTATGTAGCCACGATGCTTAGGTGCAGGCTTTCACTTTCAATCTTGAAGGTAAAAAATTACATAAATATAATTCTCGTTCCAGCCAGAATTTTATCAACAATTCTAGCAAATCTGGTTCTGGCCGCAATTTCAAATTTCCAATCCAGTACACCCCTAAATTTATTACTAACAATATAGATAAACACAAAAGTTTAGAGCGTCTCCACCCAGTTTCTACAACAGTCATACTGGTTGATGATGTAATGGAAAAAAGGTAAAAAAAACTAAAGGGTGCTAAACAGTGGTACAAAACGTCATAATAGAAATTATTTTATGCACACCAGCCAATCAATCAGCTTCTTTTCAGCACTTTTTGGTGAGCAACTTGTAAATTGCAAACAAAGAAGATTGTTAATAGTGGTTCTTGTTAATGAAGATTCTAGTTTATAGTAGAGGGTAAAAAAAATTTAATAATGAAAAAAAAATTTTAATATTAAGTTTCTAACCATTACAAAGCTTCCTAATGAACCTTTAAATGGACCATCATGAAGTGTAAACTACTTTTTTTGCCAAGTGTAAAGTAATAACTGAAATAAAACTTAATCTTTAAACCTTTTATAAAACACTCACGTTCACTGCGACTACGGAATTCCAAAGCAAGAGGTTTCTGATTTAAATTAATAGATGTATTGTATTTTAGTTTCAGCTCCAATGTACACCAACAAAATTGATATGGTGAAAGGTTGGTAAGTTCAAACGATCCATTTAATTCGTCAATTAAAACTAAAAGTATAGGTAAACTTACTTTTAATATATATATATATATATATATATATATATATATATATATATATATATATATATATATATATATATATATATATATATATATATATATATATATGTATATATATATATATATATATATATATATATATATATATATATATATATATATATATATATATATATATATATATATATATATATATATATATATATATATATATTGAAACTTTACATATACCTAATCTTATATATATATAAAATAATCAAATAAATTAAATATTTTCTTAAAAAAAAATTTTATATAGTATTTTATATAGGATTGGTAAATTATGTTAAATATTTTCCACAAGTCTCAAAAGCACAATTTCGTATAAGAAGCATAAAGAGGATTTAATAAACTGAGAATAATAAATCTTAGCATCAAACAATTTTTGCATCAATGACTTGCAATAATAAAGACATTTGTTCTCTAGCAAGTTGTTCTTTTATAAAAGATTAAAAAACTGATTATGATTAAAATTGCAACTGCACAAGAAAAGCATGAGGCAGAAAAGCACCACATAAGAAAATCAAAAATTATTTCATTGAACTTAAAAGGAGTTTTAAGAAGTGTAATGATGAGTGAACCTAAGTAGTAGAAGTAGGAGATTCAGTGAGATCATAGCACTATCTGTATGACCTATTGAGAACAAAGAAAAACTGATCAAAGCGAGATCACAAATCAAAGTTTGTATGAGTAAAGGATTAAGAAAAATAAAAATTTTGAGCTTAAAAGCCAGTAAGGTCAGTGGTACTAATGTCAAGCCATTCAGTGTGATGAGGATCAATGTCAATAATAGCAATGATGCAAAAAGAAAAAAAAAATCAATGTAAAAAATGATTGAATGAGGTATTAAGTGAAAGCAGATAAAAATAGATTTTAACTTGATTTTTTCCATGTTTTTATAACTTTTGTATGAGTGATGAGTGAAAAAGCATAAAAAACAAATATATTACAAAAATATACAGCTAAACTTGTATGTATTGAAAATGTTTTGGATATCCGAAAAAACTAAAAGTCAAGAAAAATATCCAGAATTCCGGAAATATCCGGAAAAATATAATCCCTGCCCAAGATAAAACAGCTGCAAATTAAATTTACCACAAATAGCAACAAGGTCTGGGAATCTTTGCGAAGGGTAAGATTCAACAGATAAAAGTTGCTTCAACGACCTAATTGGTGGTAATGGTTTTTTTATTTTATATATATATTTTTTTTAAATTAATAGTAAACCTGACTTAATCATAGATAGTGTATCAAACCATAGAAACTTTAACTATAAAAATCTTAACCATAAAAACTTTACGCAATAAGCTATGCAATTACCTCAAAGCTAATCAACCCAAAGTTGTAACAAATGACTACTTATTAGGCCATGACAGTGCACACTAAAAGCATTAAGGAAATGACCATTTATGCGCATTTGAAACTGTTAATAATCTGATGCTTTATGCCTTGTAACAAATCAGCTTTTTTTTAAACTGCTTTAAACTGAGTTTTAAACTGCTTTAAACTGAGTTTTAGGACTTTTACTTGGTTAACTTACTCCTTAAAAAAAAAATTCTAATTTAATAATTTACTTTTTCTTAGACTATATCTATATCTATATCTTTTTCTTAGGTAAAAGGAACTTTATTTATGCTGATTATCATTCTTAAGGAACTTATAGACAGTAGAAAACTAGTTAAACATATTAAAACAAAATTATAAATTTTATATGTGAAGGCCACAAAACATCATAGTAAAACCATAACATCTGAGAAACTATATAATTAAATCAAGATTAGTTACAGCATTTTATTACTAGAGATTCACAAATTGTTAGTCGCGGTGCTTTATTGCCAAAGATAAAGAAAGTAATAACATGAAACCCCGATTTATTTATGGTTAAGAGTATCAGAGCTCATAAAACTTATATAATAGTCTTTCTATTTTTTCACTTATCTATCCTGATGTGGAGTCTCTTATCTAACCTGACCTACAAAACAATACAAGAACATGCAGTTGATGATTTAGCTCCTCTATAATGTCATATTTATAAAAGAAAATTTAAACTTAAAAAAATTTATGTTTCAGTTACTAAACAATGGGAGTATTATTCAGATAAATATTAAAACTATTTATCAGATAATTATTAAAACAAAAAAAACCTGCAGAACTCATCATGCTACAATTAAGCTTTAATTGCAAATGTTTTTTCGTTATATCTTTAAGATCAGGTAAAGTCCAACCGAGAAGGACTGTAGTTGTAGTTTTTTGTACAACTTTAAAAGATTTCAACTGTTCTGGTAATTCTAAAAAAAAATTAATACATTAGTAACCAGCATACTGCTCTATTTATTAATATACACATTTAAAATATATACTTATTAACTAAAGTAAAATAACCTGCTTGAACCATAACAACACTTTCAGAAACTACTTTTTGGTGTGATGAAAATAATTGTTCGGCAGAGCATGTCATTGTCTTCTTACATTGAAGTAGTCTATTGGTGGTCACACAAGTATACTCTAATAAATGAGGAACTTGAACAAAAGTGTTTTTGCTTACACTTAATTGTTGATAAAGTTGAGTTCTTGAGCTGTTCAAATAAACTGTTTGCTTTTGGTTAAAAAAACTTAATGTAAGTGAATAATTCATCATGCCCTCGCTTTGACAACTCAATTGTGTTGGTTTCTTTAAATATGCTTTTATTTCCTTTTGTACAACTACTGTAGGTCGCATAACTAATATATATATATATATATATATATATATATATATATATATATATATATATATATATATATATATATATATATATATATATATAAAAATTAGGGTTTGACATCCACCCCCTATATTCTAAAAAAGAACTGTTCATATTCTTAAAACTTTTTATTGGTTGTCACAAGCAACTTAGTTAAATTGAACACTTACAAGGTCCCTAATATTATATAAAAAAAGTTTTTTAAAAGAATGTCATGTTGGGTCCCGAAAGAAGCAAAATTATATAAAAATTTTAAAGATAACAATTATTTTATAAAAAAATTATTAAGATTTATTTTAGAATAATTATTAGAAAAATACACTTTTTCATTTTTAGGTTATAACAGGTCATTTTTCTGCAAAAAAACTCTAAAATAATAACTTTTAAATAATATTATTATTATTTTAAATTTTTTTATATAACTTCGCTTCTTTTGATACTCAACATGACATACTTTTGAAAAACTTTTTTTTAATATATTATTAGGTACCTGGTAAGTGTTCAAGGGTCTGGTGCTCCCCATAAATCTAATAAAATTTGGAAAAAATTTAACAAAGTTGCTTGTGAGAACCAATAGAAGGTTTGAAGAATTTAAAAAGATCTTTTTTATAATTTATAGGGGCGGATGTCACACCTTTGAAACGCATTTATATATGTATATACACATACATATATATACAAACACATATATATACAAATATATATATATATATGTATGTATATATATATGTATATAAACATATTTATATATGTATATAAACATATATATATACATACATATAAATATACAAATACATATACATATATATAAATATATATATATATATATATATATATATATATATAATTACTCAAAGAAAGCATGTACATAGAGTGGGAAAA